TATGTCAAATCAAGGATTAGAATTGTTCGTGAAATAATACATCTAGTGTAACAAAAAAAGCGGTTAGTTCTTCATTTTGGGCTTAATGATTAATTGATAAGACAGCTATGGGCTCAAGGTGAACTTAGGCCCGTGCAGTCCAGCTCTAACTGTTATAATTTTCCAACCTTTTTTACCTTATTTACAAACAGTTTTGAAAGGTGTTTGCAGGGAGTGGCTTATAACGCAGCATTTGTTGGTTATAATTCCGCTAAAGTTCAATGTGTTGTAATCCTTTGTCACTTATAAAAAGCGGAACAGTCCGTGGATCAGTTATCTTGGCGCTTGAATGAAGGTCAAATAAAAGATTGGACTATAAAGAGGCCAACGTGCTTCTCCCTCGGTACAATTTTATCATTCTGGCCGTGAACAGGCCAGAATCAGAAATTCGATTTAGTTTTTCTCCCGCAGGAAAATACACAAAAAAGGCGCTACGTGGGAGTTTTCAATTGCGCGTCACTGAATTTCCGGAAATGATCAGGCAACCAATCAAAATGAATTAAATAAAAACCGGAAGTTCTGTCATCCGACAAAAACAAACACACGTAGAGCCGATAAGTGAAACGGTGAAACAGGTTTTTTTTTAGCCAGAAAAGAATTGGCTTCGACAAAACCTCCTCCGCGGTCACAAATATGAGCTGATATTTGCTGCACTATTTATTTTCCAAACGAAAATCCTTGAGTATAGCTGCCGTTAATCTATTTGACAATTCCATTTGATCGTAAACGATACTTTGAAGCAACAAACAACTGCACTCGAAGGTTTACCCGCAATAATATTTGTTTGATGCAAACCGTCATACTCTGGTGAAACGGTGTGGCTGTTTTTTCATCAAAGAAAAAAATGGCTACACCAAAACGTTCCCTGCTGACGCAAATACGAAACAAAATACAAATGACAGTCTGTGAGCGTAGCTGCCGTTAATCAGATCGAAGATGCTTATTCCATTTGATCATAAACAATACGTTAAAGCGGACAAACGAGAACTACGCTCGAAGGTTTCCCGTCATAATTTCTCTCATAAGAACCAACACCTGAAATATCAGACTTTTCCAAAAGCCAATTGGCAACACAGTTAGTAACTCCTTACCAGAAACCAGTGTAGAAATTGCTTCTTTTTGTTCCGATTTTAATGCGCGAGACATATTAAATTCCGAAGGATACTAAGTGCTTCCTCGAGAGCGGAATCGAAACTAATAACTTCACATTCAGAGTTCGCCGTCTTTCAGTCTTTCTCCCGCACGGGCAAAGTGTCAGAATGACGCTCAAATGACACATTTGGCTAGTGATTGATAGCTGGAGCCTAACCACACCAATCAGGAACTCCCACGAACGGAGTTTTGCAACTAACAGTGACTTCGGGTAGGCGCAATCTTCATTTCCCCACCCCCAACCCTCTCCATATTTTTGACCGTCGACCACCCCCTTGTTACAAACTTCTTTCTCTCCCCAGCCTTACACTTTCATTAAAATAAAAAATGGCGGCCATAATTTTCGTAAATACTGAGCACTTGCTCGTCAAAATTACGCCTGCTCTGCAAGCTACAAGGGACTAAAATTAGTGGTATGATATAAAATGGTCACACTTGCGCCATTTCGTATCTTTACATTAGGTTAACAAAAGGTGACTGATTTAGCTCGCATATAGTGTCAAAGGAGAGCACCTCTTAGGGCCGAAACAATGCAAACATAATCCTGGATGGTTCCAATTGCTTATTTGAGATACACTCACTATACAGCCCTTAGCAGCTGATATAATTACATACAAAGCTCCCTTCATTAAACTAAGAACCATAAGAGGTATGAGAGATAAATAGTTATGTATACAAGAGAAGTAATTTTTCAACAAAATAAAAATATTATTCTCTCCAACTAACCTTTTTCGACAAACACAGAACACCTGTGAATAAAACAGCTGTCAAAGGAGTATAATCCCTGCCAGTATGTCAAAATTTGTACATTTCTTAATACGAATTGTATCTGCTCATATTCTGGTGATACTTACGGTGACCACAAAAAGGTGGTGAAAAAAGGTGCTAACACTAGGTAAAGTATTAACTCAGGCAACAGGGCCTACAACAGGTCTAGAAAATATTACTTTGCTGTATTCATCCCATATTTCTGGTAAATATAGCTTTTGCAGCCTCAAAAGAGGAGGCGATACCGCAGAGGCTTGTTAGCTCAGTTGGTAGAACTCTGTACCGGTATCGCAAAGGTTATGGGTTCAAATCCCGTACTTACCTGAATTTTTTTCAGGCCTCATTTCTAGTACTAGTTCAGTAGTGTTCATAACTGCGAGGATCGATTCTAAATTCGTTTCTTCAACCGCAGTGCACACATATGATTTTCATATGTTTACAGCCATTATGAACAACAACGTTTGTTGGGAAAGGTGTTTTTTTCATAGATCAATCAGTGTTTGAGACCCTGAGACAGCATACCCGTGTCTTTGTTTGTCTGCCAAAGGGCATCCACTCACCAGATAAACAACTCACTATCATTTGCAGTTAGTGTTTTTTTTTTCTTTCTTTCTTTCTTTCTTTTTTTTTTTTTTTTTTTTTTTACCTTGCTGGTAAGCCGGCAAAGATGCGTGATGACACTGGCAGCAAATTGAAGGTACACGTATATGTAATCTGTTCAATTTTGCGTTTTTTATAAGCTGGAGTCAGAAAAAACACATATTTAACGCAAATGACATTTAAAAGATGTACTATCGGATCTGAAGTAGTAAATAACCAACTGATAAAAACAGTTTTAAGGTCCCTCAGCAATGACGCAAATGTTGGTCACTTACATTTGTCCCTATAGCTCAGACATACGGTAACTTCCCAATTCGATCTTATTTAGAAGTCATAGCAGTTAAACTAGCCATAAAACCAAAGCTATCATTATCTGAGGTCAGTGTAAGGACATATTGACCATTAAAAAGTCTAACTCTTTTGCCAACAGGTATTTCTTTTATGCTTTATTTAGTCTATAATTTTGGGCTGCCACCAAGTTGTCGTTATTATCAGGAATCTATCTCTTAACGGACAATAACAGCCTTTGAAACGTTTGGTAAAATTCGTGACAATTCTGTAACAGGGTAACAGCGCCAAAGTAACAATTTTTTTAATATTATACAAGGATTTCCAGCCCTGAGAAAGCCGCAACGACACACGTAAAAAATACGATAATGTTCACGTGTGTTGGATATTACTAATTAGCTGCTGACGCGTCACTAGCTTTTCGCACCACTCTGTCATGTGAATGAATGAATAGCAAAACCTTCATCAATCTCAATCCAAGGTTTTCCTCGGATGATGGCTGCCAAAACACTGAAAACTTCGTATCGCTTACAGACAGTGACGTTCAAAAGTTTCTAGAAGGGAAGAAAACCAAAATACGAAAAGAAAAACCGAAAGTTACGTATTCTGTGGCGTTGGTCATGGTATTACTCGCTGCTGAGAACGAAAATTGACGGTTGGAAGACTTGTCACAGGCCGATTTCGGTCGTGCTACCTGAAAACAACATTTCCTTATGCTATTTATCACCAACTTGTATTGGATTGTCTACAACAATAACCAAAAGAAAGACGATACAGCATATTATATTTTTAGGGAGAAAGATACAAGGGTTTGAAATCACACCTCGCTCATATACAAACATGGACCTGCAATATACTGTAATCGTAATGTTTTCAGCCTATAAGGGTAACATAGTTCGAGTGATCAGGGTTTTCATTGCAATGTTCGATTGATTGTTCAATCCAGGGGAAATAAGTTTCTTTTCGCGTAATCGCAGGTTATCAGAAGGCTTGAAAAATAGTACCCTATTGCCCATTACCTCGGTTCTTTAGACGATAGCTGATAAACTACATTGAATTCGTGAAAAGATTCGTAAATTCCACTTACCGTGTCTTTCTAGTATGTGATCGAGATCTTTGAATCCTCTTTGCTTTACATGGACTTTGACTCCTAATGCGACCAGAAATGATTCGTCGATCACGAAGTATTTACTGCCACCTTTCAAGATCGGCTTGAAACTTTTTGGCCAGTTAATTTCTCCATCAGAAGATTCATCCATTGTCAAACTCAACACCCTGATTTTGCAACATAACTAACCACAAGAAATTGTAGATCGGCAGATCGCCTCAGCTGAATTTTGTCCTTGCGGCGTGGAACGCGAACGGATGTTTACAAATTGTGAATGAACTATTGTCAAGAAGCAACCAATTGCGTGTCGTGTCTTGCTTGTTGTCAAGGGGGGTTTGTTTACGCGAGTCATTACGTGCATTGAACACTCTACAACGTATTTTATTAATTTATTATACTCATTACTCGTACTTTTATTTTTTCCACCGGATAAAAATATCTTAGAAAGCAACAAAGCAAGTTCTCAATGATTTAAGAACCCTGTTTAAAATCTATATGGTATATTTATACCGCTTGTTCTCTTAACTTCACATCGCAAATACCGTACTATGTTAAAATACGCGAGCTCCGTTTGGGGGCGCGCGGCGCATGCAATGTTTACTTCTACTTGAAAAGACATGTAAGCTGATAAGTGCTTGGGTTTGATCCGAGGTTGATGTTTTTGACATGTTGACCAACACACCGGAATGCGTAGCAATTATTAGACATCAATCAAGCAGATTCCCGGGAGAGTTTATTTCTGTTAACAAAAAGAAAAATATCTCACCTACATCAAGGAAGTTGCGCTCTTCACGATCTTCGGAAGCATGCCGGCATGTCGGCAAACTCATCGGAATGAATAAGTAATGAGAAAGAACAATAGCCTGAATATATGAATACTTAACAACCTCAATTTTTGAGGTTCACATTTAATCCGCTATGGAGTTGTAATGAATACCACTCTTCACCACATCAAAATAAAAGAATTGGCAACGTGTTGCCAAAATTGAGATTACAGTCTCAGTATTTTACAGTTTTTGTGTCCTCACGGTACTCGTGCAGTAGTCTAAATATTTGCACAGGAGAATAAGAGTTTGAAAACTGCTTTAACATTCTCGCGCTCTCTGTAGATACCATAAATTATTGGATCTAATAACGTGTTCAAAAATATCAAAAATTGCGTTGCTCTCCACATGTACTCGTCGTTTGTTACGTGAAAGTATCTCAACGCTCGAACAAAGAAAAAGGGCGACCAGCAAGCTGCAAACGCTAATGTAAGAGCTGCTAGAGGTTTGGCGACCTTTAGATGCTGTCTGGAACGCATAGCTGTAAAAGTATTTTTTCTGGGAGAAACCTTTGCGCTAGAGCGCAGAGTTGAGAAGATTTTAGCCTGGGCATAAATCATGAAGATAAGAGGACCCAGGAAAAAACCAATGGCATGAATACTGTAGTAGATTTGTCTTCCCAAATCTCCAAGCGTGTCGTTGGTGCAGAGAATTGTTCCTTCGTCGTTAGCTTGCGTCTGGTAGGCATAAAGTAAGGGTGAGGCAACTAGCAAGCTAACAATCCACGAGATAATCAATTTTCTGTATACACTCTCCGTAGTAATCGCTATTCGTCGAAATGGTTCAACAACAGCCTTGAGTCGCTCAAAGCTTATAAGAGAAAGGGTTGTTATGGATAATGTATAACAGGCTTCTATGAAGAAACTTTGCAGCTTACAAGTGATCTTTCCTCCAACCCAGGTCCAGTGATCGGCTATCGCGTCTAGTATAGACAACAATGCAAACGTTAGATCAGCGACGGCTAGATTGGCTATGAACCATTTTAGTAAACACCCTTGCCTCTTTATTGAACGGTAGCAAACAAAAAGAACGAGGGAGTTTCCTGCCACTGATAGCACCAGCGACAGTGAGTAAATAATGTAACCGAATGCAATATACATTTCGTCTTCTTTGGCCATGAGTGTTTTTTCTCTAGTGGAAGAACCTCGATTTCTTGCGAAGATCGGGTTATCCTTAGGTTCATTCAGTGATAGCTTAAAAGAGGTCTTTTATATTCTTATGCTCTCCACCGAGAGAAGCCAGAAAAAAATCATGGAAATTAAAAAGGGAGACAGGTGTTATAGTGTTTGATGACGAGACAGTTTTTTGGCTTGAACGTTGAAACAACTGGGTTTGTAAACTCTGTGAAGCTACTTTGTATGAAAAAAGATCCAGATTAGCAAGTCAAATATCACAAGAAAATGTAAAAGACACTTAACGAATGACCAAGACCAATATCACGAAATTAGCAGAATGGGAGTAAGCTGAATATAAAGATTTCATTGGAGAGTACTGAATGAATTAAATACGAGATGTCAACTCTCTCTATAGTTACATTAGCTAGATTTTTTTCCTCCTTAGAACATTAACTAGTTTGCTCCAAGATAAATCATAGTACATCGTGACAAGATTTAGAATGATCGACAATCTGTATTAAATTACTTTGGCAGTAAAGATAAAATTACAATAAAGATGGTAATTTAAATTTCGAAGGATGCACAGTATTAAAGAGTTAATTAACCTATAGCTAACAGTGAAAGGAATATACAAACTGAAGACTTAATGGACAGGGTGTGTGATATTAGAGCATGGTCTCTTAAAATGGCGCCCCACGCAAAACGTAGTGAAATTACAACCCATTAAGTGAGATTGGGCTGGTGGTCGGTGTAACTGTAGAAGAAACACAAGAATTTGGAAAGGTGCAGTCTAACTTTAACACTGATTAATTGGATGCCTGGTTCTTATTTTGCTTAACAATACATGCACTTAGCATATGCAATTGATGCTAGCAAATTTTTAGGGCATTTCGCACGAAATCTACCGGTCAGCATAACTTTGTTGTTAGGACTTCATTTCAAGCTGTTGTAAATTAGTTGCGTTCTCGATCTTCTTGGCCTTTAATTGAGATATCACGAAAGGATCCCTAACTATTGTCAGTTCTTAAATATCGGTTTTTGACAAACATGAAGATGAATTTGCACCTTTTTTCCAATTTTGCTACCCGACAACTTTGCACTAATGTATAGGATTATGTTTTCAAAGCACTTTTCTGATCATCAAATCATCCATAATTTCAGATTACAAAACTTGTGTAGTCTTTGGCTTAAAAGGAAGAGAACCCTCCTGTTCTCAAAAAACTGTGCCCCTTAAAAAAAGGCCTTTTTGCTTCTTGCTTTTCCAAAATACAATTGCAAGTATTAAGGATAAGATTTTAGCAGAATATAATTTCCTACCTAGGCTATCTAGCTTTGGATCTCAAAGGAACATTCACGCCTGATACAACGATGATTGAAAATGAAAAAGATCGAAAACCACATGTGTCAAAATCATTTTCAGTTTAATCTAGCTTGAATTGCTTTATCATCATCAAGCTGATTTATTATTGATGTTCTGTCACAAAAAAATAATTGACCGACAGCGTAGTAGCTCTGCTCTCAAACAGTACATGAAATCAGCCCCCGCAAAAAAGAACGAACGACAAGGTTAACTGAACTTGTTGTTCGATTATATGGCAACCGTAAAGGCAATGCCTTCTCTTGCAAATGGAAAACAGACATAGTTTGATGCTACTCTGGTTTACAGATTTAATGAATGTAACCAAAGAAGTTACAATTCATAGACCCAACGTTTCGACACTCCTGTCTAGTGCCTTCATCAGGCACAGGACGAAATTGCAAGAATCCGTAAACGGAAACGTGGCAGAAACATGTTAAACCGTTCCGGAAACACGACGGATAACCTGTGTTTCCGTTACCAGTTTCGTGACGTTTTCTCGCGTTTCCGTTGCTGCGTATACAACGGAACCGGACCACTTTTACGTAAACATAACGGAAACATGGAGTTGCATGTTTCCACCACGTTTCCGTTTACGGATTCTTGCAATTTCGTCCTGTGAGGGGTGATTTAAACACTGCAACAAGAGGTCCTTTTATATGATCACTAATTAGCGGCCTTTTTTCTGACGAGGTGTAAATAGGCGTCAGGAAGCAAACCGCCATCGTCACGATTTAAAGGAGCGTGGGCGGAGTTAATATGCCAAGCCTCCAAACAAAGGCGCTGGTGGTAACGCCGATTAGTGGTGATAATTTTAGAATTATCCCACCCAATTGTATGGTTAGTTAGACAATTGGTAAAACATTGAAGTGCTCTAGAACTTATAAGTTCCATTATTTTATGTCTCAGAAAACGTTGCACTGATATATAAAATCAGCGCTATCATGTTTATTCATCTGCGATTTCATTGCACAAAGGTGTAAGCGTCTGGCTGAAAAAAAAAAATAATAATCAGACACCACGCTTCGCGAAAATCAGGAAAAAGAGGGCCTTTACTGTTTTCCGTAGCGCCTATTTCAAAAGCCTTTTTTATTGCTTTTCAAAGCTTTAATTTCAAATGTGAAGGAAAAAGAGTTTATTTTGTACATAATTTCCTACCTCAGCTGTCTCGCTTTGGCCCTCAAAAGATCGCCCATGGCTGATACAACGGTGATAAAGAATGTACGACGAAGAATAACCTCATGTCCTCAAAATCATTTTGCCTTTTCGTAAACGTTTTTGTGGTAGTTAATATTGCCATATTCAAAACAAAATTCGTGGCAGGTACTCGTCATTTGGACAGCAGCATAATATTATATTTTAGGAGGGTTGATTCACTGTGGACTTTACTGTCAAAAGAAAATTATTGGTCAACAACATGCGAGCTTTGCTCTCTACTGCTTATAATTATAGAATCGGCCTTTTCCAACCCGAATCGAATAGCTAGTTTTATGGCAAATTTCAAGTTTCATTTCTACAGCTACAATTGAGACAGTTACTGAAACTTTCAGGTGCTCTAATTTAAATTCGGTTTGCTATCTAAGTCGTAGCTGTTTCTCTTCTTATGCATGCTAATGACTTATATTGCCTTTTGTTCTAGCCGTATCACCGCAACTTAACACAAACTTCAGCTTAAAAATATTTTTTGGTAACGACAATGGAAAGTTATTAACTCATATTGGACAGAATCTTAATTGTTAGCCGTGAAAGCCAACACCTCTTTGAGACTCTGTAGACATAAACATAAGCCCTGTATAAAGGTTGAGGTCTTTGGTATATTTACATTTAAAATATAACAGACGGCAATGGATGAATAATTTATAATCTTAAACATTCAAGGGATTAATCATTTAATGTCTGAAAAACTGTTCGACTACTGTTCAATGCATTACTTAAGTGATCTCTGATGCAGGTTGCTGGCTAAGGGTGCAAATCATTTTACACCAGCTTTTTTCCGAGAAAGATGGATCAAACTGTCAGTTGCTGTGTCCTGGTTCTTGCTTCGAGGAAACGAGGAAATAGGGGCCATTTCAGTGACAACTGCAAACCTCCTTTGTCTCCCCTGCTATTTCTCCTGCTTCTACAGTGGTGAGTTACAGCCTGGAACAGGCTCCTAAAATGACATCTACGGTGGAAAATACGATGGTGTCACAGTTTCTCCAGAAAATCATTTAATCTTTACCAATTGATGCAAATTAAAAACCTCCTCCCAGTGAAAGTTTTAATCAGACAGTTCCGGCCTCTTTCTTCTCGGTGCTCCTAACTTTACATTGGCTACAAACATTCTGGAATATATCTAATGTATGACCTGATCGAAATATTTGGTCATGACTCGAGGGCATGTTGGCCAGGAACTCGGAACATATCAGTTGCCTGCCACAAGGGAAATGAAGGGAATGCGTCGATGAAAATTGACCTTTTTATCAAATGGTATAGACATGCGCCATAAGTACTATTAGCGACATAGAATTCTCCTCAGGGAAGACTTCATATTTCCTCCATAATAACCATACAACAGAGGATCTAACCCAGCATTGAAAAAGATTAAAAGCTGAGACATCCTCCAAACTAAACCAGGGGACGCCAAGTGGAATTGAAGCAGCGTTCGTATGACCATGAACGGGGACCAACATATCACAAACGCTGTACTAAGAGCAGCAAGTGTCTTGGCAGCCTTCCTGTGGCGTTTATTTAATTGCAAAATAAAACACGAGGAGTTTCTGATTATAGGCACAACTCGCAGAGAACGATAAATGCGGCTCTGTATAATTATCATATACAACATCGGTATAACAAAGAATATTGTTGTGTGAACACTATAAAAAATTTGCGGAATTCTATTTCCCCTCGTCGTCGTAACACAAACAACGTCGCCGTTTTCATTTGTTTTAACGCGATAGATATATACCAAAGGAGAGCATACAAGCAAGCTAGAAGTCCACATTAAAATGAGTTTTATGCGTTGACTGTTGCTCCAACTGCTGATTCGAACGCTGAATGGGTCGACAAGAGCCCGAAGTCTTTGGTGGCTTATGGCCACAAGTGTAGTTACTGAAGTTGTGTAGCTCGCCTCGAGCAAGAATCCTTGGAGTTTGCAGGTAATGTTCCCACCGATCCACTGTTCCAAGAATCCGATACCATTAAAAATCGTTAGGAAAGTAAAGAGAAGATCTGCCGATGCTAAATTTGTCAACAGCAACATGAATGGATAGTATCTTTGTTTCAAATTCTTGTAGCAGCGTAACAACACCCAAGTATTGCCAATGGTCGATAGCATGAAACACGTACTGTAAAATACCGAGAATGACACCAAAATGGCTATAGGAAAGTCGTCACTTGTCGTCATAGTTTAAGTAGACTGAGAGGCCTTGACGAAGAATATTCTAGAATCACACAAAACCTGTCGACCACAATCGAGTTCAGTCAAAGTTCTGACTGCCTTGGCAGATATGAATGTCCGAGTGTTATGTCGCTCAGAGAACCCAGCACAATACAAATATATATATTCACACTAGTTGTTTTCTTCTCATTCACAGATTAATATAAAATTTAACATTTGACGGCTAGCCGTTTCCCCAAGTAATTATACTTTTTCTGCTCAGTTTGCTCAGCCCTTACAATTCTGTAACAATCCAAATTAAATACTGTCTTAAAATTTGCATGCTCATTAGAATTTTTTCTTTTTTATTTTATCTTTGAAGATCGGGCGGGCCTTTAGAACTCGCAAAGTCACTTTACAATTTGAAATTTTAAGATTTCGGTTTTTTGATCTAATATTCAAATAAGCAGATACAAAAGTGCACAAGAGAACTGAAAATAAACTAAGTTGTGGGTAGATTTTATTGAGGAAATGAAATGCTAAAATGTTTATTCAGCTTCACACCTACGTGCAACTGTTGAGCTAAAGCGCCAACCGTTTATTGGGATAAATCTTAAAAAAAGCTTGTCTTTTCTTGAGATTGTCCAGCGACTGACAATAAAACTTCATTTTCAAGGTTACGTGGAATTGTGAAAAGGCCATCTGCTGGTGGATTGCGCTTAGAAGGGCGCAAAAATAACAAGGAAACTTTGAGAACGGAGTAAAAACAAGAGCCTTCGTCGCTATGGTGTTACGTTTTGTATCATTGCTTTTCCAATTTAAACAAACCCGGAAAACTATGGATGGTGAATCTATCGAAAGCGATAAAAAAGCGATATGCGAATCGAAAAGAAATTTCATTTGCTTCAATGGTAGATTGTAGTTTTCAATTTTGGCCGGATTGGATCAATTTGTTCAGACTCGACACCTGGTTGTAATCATCACTGAAAAACATTTCTGGGTTTAAGCTCCAAGCTTTCATAAAGAAATGTGATCGATATAGCGGATGTGAAGCGACAAAATGGAGATATTTTTCCATTTCATTTTTTTTTTAATTCCTGCCTCCTTCGATTGTCTCAAAAGTACTCGCGCTGCAAATCTGAAAATTAGAATGCGAACTTTAAAATATTTTCAGGACACTGACCTCTACAAATTGCAAGTGTTGAATTGAAGGACAGATTAATTTACCGTTGGATGGAATATAAAGATTCATTAACCCTAGTTTTTCTTTTCATTTTTCGGTCACTGCATTAAAAAAATTTAGATTTCGTTGAAATTCATGCCATAGAAAAACAATATTTTAGTCGTTGGTGCTATCAACATTTTTCAATACAATTTAGAAGAGGATACTGAATATTTTTAATATGGTAGCCACTTGAACTTTGGCTTTACCAAGCATACCAATTAATATGCTGTCTTATCGCTTATTGTAAAAGTGAAGATCGTCTTTGCCACAAAAACAGTGAAAAATAGGAGTAATGAGGAGGAGAAGTTAAAGGTTACCAAGATTATCGTGGCTTTACATCTCTGAGTAACATATCGTTTTGATTTTTCTAAGATTACCTTTTATACTCTGATTGAGAATATCATGAGAGCATTCGTTTACCTTGTAACATTAAGAACAACAAGTTAAAAAAAACTTAAAATGTTATTATTTAGGTTGAATGTACATTGTAATTATGATAAATTGTTTTGTTTTAAAATAATTTTTGGTCGGAGTCGAGGTAACGAGGAAGCTGTACACCTGCAGGTAATTGCTTCGTTAAAACGAAAGAAAAACCAATTTAGTGGTCTTAACACGTATTACTTGCCCTTATTGAAAATGTAATTAAAGCGTTTTTTTTTTTTTTTTTTTTTTTTTTTTTTTTACTGGCCTCTTTGAGTTTTGGGAGAACACAGGAAAACTTTGTAAATTACGAAGCGAGGGCGAGTGACTTACAGAGTTAGCGAGTCACAAAAAAAAACTAATTCTGCGAGTGACTTGTCAGTCTGGTAAACAAATAACGAGAAGCGTATTCTTTTTTAAACAAAAAAACAAAGGGTTATCTCTCAAATAAACAATAGGCTTATAGCGCGTATGATATTTCGGTTCTAAATTTTTAAGAATTTTTTTCCAAAAAAATCACTTAACATGGACTAAACATGTAACAAAGACTCTATCATTGTTCTACGGCAGTTTATTCCCATCTCTACTGAAATGAAAGTTGAAAACCCACAAGAAATATGACTAACTTGAGGTGTTTATTTTTATTAGTTACTTGGTGCGGTCTATACTTCAAAGCGTTTTTAAAGAAGGGACTATATCTGAAGAGCAGCCTAGGCTCTGATTCAGAGAAGTTCTTAAAACGTGACCTGGTGGACTTTGTTGTGAATCCAGTGTGTTATACAAAGACCTCAAAACACCGGGTCGGTGGCGAGCCTGCAGCATTCACGAGGAAGAGACATATGGATGAATAGGCGAACTTGGAGAAACTCAATAGACGTCGTTTTCGACGGGTTCAAACTAGATAGATGATCTCACTGGGCACTGTCGGTAACGACGCAGACGCCTGCCTGATCTCGAACTCAGGTGTGGGAGAGAAGATCATGTGCCTCCAACCAGAAGCTATCTCAAATTGCCAGCTTATGCATACGAACACAGTTTTTGGGAAGTCGTTTTAATAGAGTACCACAACTGAGCGCAGCGATCAGCTTATCTGTATGACGGGATGATTCCTATTACTCTCTTTCATGGATAATTCATATCTGTCTTTGTCTCCCTTTGCATCGGCTCATCTTTGTCTATTGAACTAAAATACATTTTCATCTTTTATTCGTAGTTGCTTTGACCAATAAATAACTAGTGATCCCAGTTAACTTTAGTATCTTTAATATCTATAAAATCAATAATCAAAATTACAGTAGGAGAGCATTTTATCGCGCAAACATTTTGCACCAGCCTGAATCGAAAAATTGAATGAAGTCTTCATTAAGAATATTAAACAACTAAAATAACAAAATGAGCACGACAATTTAATGAGTAATGAAAGTAAATGTACATGTATTCTGTCAGTATATTATAAACAAGAGATTTTAAACTGAGCTCAGTTTATATTCTCTTGATTCTGTTAGTTTGATGATTGCCCTTTCCAGACCAATACAAATACTTTTTACTATGAGATGAATTAAGGGCAATAGCTGGTTTGTCGATAAAATCATTTGGTCTTACTTGATAGTTTCCCTTTCTCCATTCTTAATTGGGAGGGTGGTAGTTTATGGTAAATTGAACCAGGGAGTTAAATTTCGTGACAATGTGTCGATAATTGCGCGGCTTCTACACAAGCACAGTAGCTACTGACACGAGCATGTAAGTCTCGGCCGCAAGCAAGACGTCAGATGTCCTCCATAATAGCCGTAAAGTAAAGGATCTAATCCAGAATTGAGGAAAATTAAAAGCTGAGACATTTTCCATGCAAAGTCAGGCGACGCTAAGCTAAAGTATATAAGTGTTCGAATAACCATAAACGGAGACCAGCAGATTACAAACGCCATCGTTAGCGCGGAAAGTGTCTTTGCAATCTTCCGCTGCCTTTGCTTTGAGTGCGTAATGAAGGCCGTGGTTGGAATGGACGCTACTCGTAGGGTTCGAAAAATGCAGCTTTGTGTGTAAATCATATAAACCAGCGGAGCTACAAAGAAAATTGTTGTATGTACACTGTAGAAGATTTGTGGGAAAAAATTCGTCCTCTTTCTAGCAAGGCACATAACACTATTTTGTTGCGTTTCCACCCGGTAAATGAACAACAAAGGCAAACAAATGAGTAGGCTGCAACTCCAAATTATGATAAGTTTAAAGTACTGTTTCTCTGGCCATCTTTTTACTAGAGCGTTGATTGGATTCGAAGTAACCTTCAGTCTTTCGTAGCTTATAGTCAAAAGCGTGATGATTGTACTTGTGTAACTTGCTTCAATTAAGAATCCTTGTAGTTTGCAAGTGATGTTACCACCGACCCATTGCCACAGAAATGCGATACTGTTGAATATGGTCAAGATTGTGAAGCAGAGATCGGCAGAAGCTAGATTTGCCAATAGCCACATAAAAGGGGAGTGTCTTTGTTTCAAAGTCTTGTAGCAGGTTACCAGGACCCAGATGTTTCCAACTGTTGATAAAATAAAAACAAAACTGTAGAAACCACTGAACAGAACCACAAGGATTGAAGAAAAAGAATCACTCCTCTCCATGTATGGTAGTTTGGTCGGCTGATTTCGGTGAAACCGTAGGTTTCATGTAACGTTTAAGGACAAATCTCACTTTGTGGTCTATATAAATTTTGTTCGAATATTCGAGGATCAAAGAGATAAATTCAACCTTGTTTTACTCGGAGTTCTGTGTCCTGTTTTCAGTGTCTTCAAAAGCAACCTGAGGCGATGAGACTTTCCTATTTATCCTGATCAATCAGCTTGATAAAAATTAAAAGCCCTCGATCATTTTCCAATAAAGTTGTTTTTTTGAGCAAATAACTACTTTAGAGCTGACGTTTTGAGAGGCTTTTCGTGCTGCTATTTTAAAATTAAATTGACAGTCCCTCTCGAATTTGCATTTTTATTAATATACCGTGCCAAACTGAAAATAAGTGACATTATTGTTCACTAAGAAACATATCCCGTACTGGTCCCGCTGGCGACTAAGCTTCCGTTGAATGTGGCTTTAGGGAGAACCCTTTTAGAGATTGTTTCAAACAGAGTAATCTTTCACATGATGCGATTTTAGAACATCCGTGCGTCTATAATTGACGCTTTGAAAACTATGTCAGCGTGGGTTGCCCTTTGTTAATTTAAATGATAAGGTTTTGCTTCCACCAGGGCATAAAACTCTACACCATATTGGATCAGATAATCACAAAATAATTACTTCGACCGAACGTGCTGAAACTCTTTTGATTCCACGGGAATAATTTTGTTTTTTTCTCATATTTCATCAAATCTTTACCTCCTACGACGAGGAACAAATTACCCAAATCACCCATTATTTCAGTGGGTGATAGCCTTTTTATCCTTAAAATTGATTTCCATAAACCCCTTTTTCATGAAATATGCAAGAACGATACTAAGTCTACTGCAATTTTTTTTCTAAAAGATCAATGAACGTTTCAAGAGGTATGGTAAATCATTGTTTTCTTATTTCCCTTTCGTGCATGATCAATCTAATCAAGTTTGGGCGGTATTCGGAGGAAACTCTGATGTTTCTTTCGAGATAATTAATAGGTGTACTGCAGAAATAACAAAATAACAGTAATGTTTATCCCAGAAATTCTCTAGTACATCACCTGCCACAAGATTCAACGGAAGATTTCATTCAAATCACGAAAAGATCATCAAGTAAATAACTTTGCTTAAATATCATGGATAGATAGCAGTCAATATCGAAACCTAATTAGTTTCGCTTACATAGTTTATTCTACTAATTTTCCTTTAACGTGCAACAATTAAAATGTGATTTTGTTGAACTTTCGCCGTTACTTAATAACTTCCGAAATGAAATGCTCAATATTCAAACGAGCTATGTACTTATTGATTCAATCGGCGAGCCGGAAGGGAAAATATTTGGCTCGAGGCCATGACATACAGACTGAGCGCAGCGAGAAGTATTATTTTCCTGTTCAATCAAGCCAAATTCAGTAATTAAGCAGTTTATCACATGACCAAATTATGTTTCAACTTTGATAGGACGCAAAAGAGGGGCACACGCAGGACAATCACAAAAAAGATTCTACAAGAAAAACTCTTCCCTAATTTTTTTCGAGGCAGAATAACTCCGAGAAACTTGTTTTCGCAGTTTCTGTTTTCCTTTGGTTTCAAATCCACAATTATAATACACATTTTCACAAAAAAATTGAAAAATAAAGACAGCTATACGAGTGCGGAGCCAGATGGCTTTTTCCAGAACGACTCAGGTTACACCCCACGCATATAAGCCTTTATTCTGGTTTTCATGCCGGCACTGGGTAAGCGGGGCGCGGGGCCGGACAGGTGTTTATTACCTCATTATTTACCGTTTGTGAGGTAGCGAGAAGTTCAAGGAATTTCTAAATCAGCCGAGGTAGATCTTCTTCTTACATAGTAGGTGAAATTAACTCCGCCAACTCACTCATTTTCATGGATTGATAAACACCGCCTTCAAACACAACTCTCTTGTGCAACAAGAAACGGTGCGGTTGACTTATACTGTAAAAGCCCCCCCTAACAGGAACAGTGTATTGTCCGTAAGGGTTTGTACATACACTAGCTAACAGCCTCAAACTGCGCCGCCTAATTCCTCGAGATGTTACGAATGAAATTGGTTCCGAGAAATTGTAATATCTTTTGCTTCTATGTTCACGATTTAAGCCTTGCAACTAACTTATTCAGTCTCTCTTATTACTGAGTAAGTGTGTTTTACTTCTTCCTTTTCGTGAAAGATTATTGAAACTGTTCGTGTCGTTAAATTCTCTTTATTATTCAATGTTCTAACACTTGACATAAGCTAATAATCCCTTGATTAAAGGCGTCAGTTATTTTAAATTTATAAGGGAAAATCGGTGAGTATTGAATTTTACTCTCTGGCTCTGTATTCATAAATGCGAGTGATATACTTACTATGAAGTTCAATAACCCATTGACCCCCAGAAATGTTTAAAACGTAACCACTCCTTGAAATGTCAATACGTTATCCAGCTTGCAGGTGTTGAGAATATTCGAAATTATCAGGTCTTGCGTATAATTTTTGTAACTAATTTACAAGGAAATGTGTCGTAGCTAAGAGGGAGAATTAACAATCAGATCTTGGAGGTTAAAGGGTCAATGGAGTCATTTTGGGCTCTTGGACACTCTGAAAGTTAAAATCTCACCATGAACTGGGTTTTCAGTCAAATACTTTATCGTGAAAATTACGAAAAAATAAATCTTAACTTAACCTTAAGATTTAAATTATGCCTTGCAACGGGTTAAGCGGTGTCAAGCCATTACCACTCTATTGAAATTGCTCAATCATTCTCATTTGACAGTTTCCTTCCTTTGAGAAGCTCTCGATTTGGATAATAGTTTAAGCCAATAAGTTTAATGTTTTGATATTGTTGTGATAATTGTGCACCTTCCAATTTTAAGTAACTAATTACGTAAAAGTCTCGCTTGTAAGGAAGACTTCAGATGCCCTCCATAATAACCGTACAATAAAGGATCTAATATTATTGAGGAAGATTAAAAGCTGAGACATTTTCCAAGCGTAGCCAGACGATGTTAAGCTAAAGTACATTTGTGTTCGTATGACCATAAAAGGAGACCAATAGAGTACAAACGCTATCGTCAGAGTAAAGAGTGGCATGTCTTTGCAATCTTCCGTTGCCTTTGCATTGAGTGCAAAATAAAGGCAGTGTTAAGAATGGGCGCTACCCGCAGGACACGAAAAATGTGGCTATGTGTGCAAATCATGTACAGCAGTAGAGCCACAAAGAATATTGTTGCTTGTACACTACAGAAGATTTGTGGGAAAACAGGAAAAAAAACACTTCATGTATTTCCTTAGCCATTAGATATTAGCCTTTTCGTTAAGTGTCATTTTAAGAGCGGCTTCCTCAAGATGTCACTCATCATATGGTTCCTCCTTCCTACAAGTTAAGCCTTACCATCAAAGTTACTAAAAATAAATGACGTTACTTTTCTCAAAATGCAACAAAGCAAAAAATTAAACACTTTATGTACTTCCTTGTTCATTGAATGTTGGCTTTCCCATTAAGTATAATTTTAGAACTGACATCCTAGTGATGTGACAAGTCATATAGTTCCCCTTATACTATACTTGACTAAAGATAAATTAAGTTTTTGTTTAACGAGCAAATACGCAGAGGCCATACTGTTTCCCATAGATTTGAGAATTTCCTTTCCATCGAGTGTCATTCAAACGAGTGGCCTCTTGATGAGGTCCTCAAACGTGAGCAACATAAATTTTTTGTTCAACATCTTCAAGAACACTTGTACATTTAGATTTTGCAATATACCGACAATTAACAATTAGAAATAATGAGTTTTAGTAGGTACCACGCAGATAAATGGTGCTTTTGCGCCCGCTGAATGGCTAATCCGGAGATGATTAGAAAGTAGTTTTTACCCCCGGGTAGCCAAAGAGACAATGATTCGAACCCGTGGTCGAAGGTGAAGAATTAGAAGACCAGGCGTCGACACAGGAAAACAGAAGAGTTTAATGTTTACACTTTACATTGACAAAAAGTCAAAAATTCTGGTGCGCCCTTTTTCTGGTAATGTTCCCGTTGATTACACAATGATCCCTAGTTACGCACTAAAGGGCGTATATAAATGTGTCTGAATCCTCTCGGGATTAGTCCCAGTCCTCGCATAAATAAATTGTTAATTGGGCAAATCAGACAAATTCGAGTCAAGAGTTGCATTTCCAACCATTTTTCACTGCATTGACATAAACAGCTATTTTTTTTTTGGCGGCTTAGTAAATATAAGCCACTTTCCCCGACGCTGAGGTGAATAATTTCAAATATTTGGAATTCAAATACTAATTTGACACCAAATTTAACACGTGGATGGTTTTATTTTTCATGATTAAACGTCTTCAAATGGGTAAACTATCTGTCGTCAGGTTCACTAATGAACTTTTTCCTCATCGAGAGTAATCAGAATTTTTCTTAATTTGTAAAAGAAAGGATTTAAAGCAAAATTGTCCTTTTACTTCTTTAGGGATATTCGAAGCTCAGAAAGTTAAAATCTTGCTTTAAACTGGCTTTTGATTGAATTTTTTCAAATACATGGAAAAATCTATAAACTAAGTCATGAGATCGTGAATGGTGGTAATGATGTCTTGAAAACCATTGGAAATCCCAAAGAGAAAAGAGATACACTTTGTTATTATATGAGCCTTTTCCTTTTTTTTCTCCTTTCTTTTATTTCTTGGGTGAAAATTTAGCCTTGATTCAAAAGCGATAATCGATGAAATTTCCCATGTCAGTCAAATGCTTGACGTCCTCCGAACGTGTTTCAATGGGGGTCCACTTTCCTCCTAATCAATTATGTGTTTTCGTAAGGTTTGCTCCCTGAGCTTTAAGAAAATCTACAGTGTTCTAAATGACCTCCCGAAAGCGTAAGGGCATAAGGCTGGTTTTCACTTACGAAGAAGTCGGAGTCGTAATCAGATATACTGAGTGATACGATCTAATGGAAATCAAACCTGACGGTATCGAAAGAAAATTACTGATGCCACTTACCACTCCATCAGATATACAATCCAGTGAAAACTAGATGGTCATAGTCACAAGTGTAAGCCCAAGAATAAATTGATCAAAATATCTCAATGATTGGTTCGTTCTTCCACTCCTGACTGCGACTCTAACAGTCTAGTTTTTACTGGATCATAAAAGTCGCAGTCTTCAGCGAAATCGGAAGAAAATGAGAATGATTCTTCTGATTCCGATTCTGTTTCGTTAAGCTTATGACTCCGCTTACGCACCTGGTCGGATGCGCGCTCTTACGACTCCGACTCCGTTGCGGGTGAAAAACTGCAGCCTTAGGATGGTGCACTCGGGTGACGTTTTCGGGGATATATTTCTGAACAATTCATTATATAATAACTTAGAGAAAAGTTCGATTTGTATGAAATTGCTTTGTTTTAGTTTTACTTAAAAATGAAATTCTCGTCTTGTTGGTTTAAGATACTCGCACCGCATTCAAAGCGAACATTTTCAAAACGGAAACCAATTGCAACTCGATTAAACGCGTTTTCCATCGCTTAAATTAGCCAGTTTGATGTTATTACTTTCAATTCCGTTTGGCAGGTGTCAAAGTTATGTATATGTCGATGTTATCGTATTGAAAAGAAAATTGCGGCCGGGCAATAAGACTCTCCTTATTATCCTGACCAATTACCTTAGTAAAATTTCCATTCGACTCAATTACCGTTGTACAATTTAACTGATCAGGAGTTTTTTTCGGAATATACATTTTGATTATACTATACCCAACTGATCTGTATGGCTGACATATGCTATACAAATCATTTCATCGAATGGCGTTTCCACTGAGTGTCACTTCATTTGGCCCCTTTTTATAAAGTGCATTAACTAGATGGCTTTTTGTGCTTTGAAGAGACTTTAGCATGTAGACGTTAAATTTTCTGTCTGAAGTGATCAGATAATCATGAAATAGCGACTGCCACCGACCGTGCTGGAATATCTTTTATTATAAATACATATTTATATCTGTATTTTATTTATTTTTTTTTTTTGTTGATAAAATTTTTCACCTCGTGAGAGGGCAGACAAGCTGCCCATGTCATCTTCTATTTTAGACTGTGAAAGACTTAATGAAATATCCCGGCAGACAGAGGATTCAATTCATGTGAATGTCTGTCTCTCTCTCTCTTTTTAGTTTTTTTTTTCTGGTTGGTTTGCCTCGTAAACATTTTTTCCACCTTTCCTAGTTTTATTCCACTTAAAGTTATTCTCCATGACGTCGACGCTAAAATTTGTTCAGAATATCGCGACGTACCAGTTCTAAAACCACCCAAACCTGTCTCCAGCTGAGTGCGCTTATTTGAAAAGGAAAAAACTAGACAACAAGGAAACTGACCAGTTAGTTCAATACTGTGCCAGCTGAAAAAGAATCATTCACATACTCACATCAGTTATGCCGGCTTCGCATCTAAGTTGAAACATGCACATTGCGGTGATGAAACACACGCATCAAAAGAGATTTATTATTTAGGTTCTATTAATTTGTTTAATCAGCTGATTCTGCAGTGGAAATAATGCTAATCGTTATTTTGTGACGATGACTTCAATTCTATCGATCTCAGTTTAAGAATGGTGTTGTAAAGTTACTGTAAGAGTCACCCTTCAAAAAAAGAAGGCGAGAATTTTCATTTATAGTTCAAAATTGTATATCAGTTGTGAAAAGGGCTTGGCAAATGATTGAAGAGTCATAGAGACTGTGGTGTTTTCTCGAGGTTTACTGATACTTATTAGCCCAAAAATCCAGGAAACAGTGAAGACAAGATCAAGATGGCGGTTTTACATTCTAAAAACTTCAACCTCGTGTAAAATCAAAATTGATTGTTCATACTAAGACTTGATTTAGATACTACGCGGTCTGTGATTGCTCCTTCCCAAAATTTATTAAAGAACAAGCCTAATACTTACGTCATCTAAAAATGGTTATCTCTCTTTGGTTCAAAATGCTGTACAATTTCGAAAATGGTCGTGATATTATTCAGGATCGCCCATGTAAAGGTGCCGATAATGTAGGTAAGCCTGCAGCCATTTTTGAGCTAAAAAAAGGCAGTTCTAAGGCCAGAACTTAAACAATGTATCTGAAGAAGTTTAAATACTTTTGGTAACTTTCATTGTAACTTTGTGTTCAATGTCTAAAATGCTCGTTTCCTAAGGTTACTCCTGAAATATTTTGGACGCCCGCAAATAACCTCTCTACAAAGTTAGCTAAAAAACATGTCTTTTAAATAGTTTCCGTGATTCCTGTTTCCATAGATTTATGTAGTAACAAATCGTAGAAAACGCCAAAATTTGGAAAGAACACTGATGATGCTCACGCCTGCGGCTCATGTGCCACTGTTTGGTTTAATTCGGCGTAGGACTGACTTCTATTCATATAATTCTATTACCAGACCTGGCCATGGGTAACAGTTTTTCTCATTGTTAGTTGCCATTTGGCTTTGAGTGGACCGACTGAGTTCTTCCAGAGCACGGGTTTGACATTTGGCACATGGAATAAAACGTTTTAAAATTGCCTTGAAGTTCTCACGTTCCCCATAGATACCGTAAAGAATTGGATCTAACATCGTGTTCAAGAAAATTAAAAGCTGGGATGCTCTCCAGATATAACCTTCATCTGCGAGATGAATGTAAATGAGCCCTCGAACACAGATGAAGGGCGACCAGCAGGCAGCAAATGCCATAGTTAGAACAAGTAGTGGCTTCGCCGCCTTGAGATGCCGTTTAGAGCGCACTGTTGTAAAACTGTTTTGCTTTGAGAACACCTTGGTGCTCGAGCGTAAAGATATGAAGATTTTTCTTTGGACATAAATCATGTAGACTAGAGGGACGAAGAAAAAGAAAATCGTATGAATGCCATAATAGACTTGTCTTCCCAAATCTCCAAATTTGTTGTTGGTGCAGGAAACCTTCCCGTTGGCATCGGTTTGGGTTTGGTAGGCATAAAGTAATGGCGAGGCTATAACCACACTCATGCTCCAGGTGGCGATAAGCTTTCCATAAATACGCGCTGGAGTAATCGTTATTGTATGAAGTGGCTCGACCACTGCCTTGAGTCGTTCAAAGCTTATAGTAGACAGAGTTGTTATGGATACTGTGTAGCAAGCCTCGATGAAAAAACTTTGCAGTTTGCAAGAGATCTGACCTCCAACCCATGTACGTGATAAATAACTAACGAGGTCCAGTATAGACAGGAACACAAACGTCAGGTCAGCAACAGCTAAATTAGCGATAAACCATTTTAATGAACCCACCTTTCTTTTTATTGATCGGTAACAAACTGAGAGGACAATAAAATTTCCCAAAACTGACAGCAAGAAAACTATAGAGTAAAAGGTTACACCGAATGGAACAAGTATTGCATGTAACTCTCCACTTGTCATTATTCGTGTTAATTCGTGTCGTGCTCACAATAGCGTACGCTTCAACCAACCACTGTTGACTCGCTTTGTCAGCTCTTATCGCTTGACTATTTAAATGCATATACCCAATGTTCCATTCTTCTCAATCATACTTCGAGGTGAACCTGGCAATGAAACGACGATGATTAAAGCAGATTCTTTCCAAGACATCATTTTTTTAAAGTGCCATAATTGACATATAAATTCTGACGCAGCAGGCACCTTTTTGTTGTGATTAATATCATTATTCTTAAAATATAAAAAGTAAAAACCCCGACTTCCTTTAATCTCCCATAGGAAAGACCCCCTTAACATTTTAGGGAAGAAGAAGGGAGGAACAAAAAGCAATTTCTGAATTTGTAGATTTTGATAACAACTTGTAATGAAATAAATTTGAATGATTGATCAAGTACAACAAAATCTACAATTCAAGCAAAAAAATGATCCTCCGGAGGTGTAATCCATTTTTAACAACTGCAGAAAGGAAACCTGAAGCAGCTCAGGCCCCTTTCGAAGCCTGATTTTTTTCTTTTCTGCGATTGCTGAAAGTCGCAGTTCATCTGTCTGGATCCTTTCTTTACGCGATTTGTAAATTTTGTTGTTCTAGATATACAAACATTGAGCCTTATTGCTTACAAAATGAATAGTGCCTAGTAAAATAGGTCTCTGTCTTCTGTCGCATACGCAAACTTCATATGCATGGAATCATGGAAAGAAATTTGATAATGTGAAACCTCTTCCAGTTTGCAATCACAATCGTCCTTAATGTTTTTGCTCTCGCTGCCATGACTCATTAACACTGTTCAATGAAACGAGTCGCATGCACACGCGCTTATTTAACAGTGACTCAGGATGAGGGAAGCTGAATTTTGGTTATAGGAGAACTTACCTTTGGCTTCGGGGTGAAAACATGATCCTTGGTTCTCAAATTTTTCTTTATAATTTAGCTTTATCCAGGAAAAATCTCTAGCCGGAGGGATTCGTCATTTCGAAATGCAGTTTCTTTAATTGTTTCCCTCTCTTTATTTACTTCTAGTTTACGAACATTTATTTTAAGGGACATTTCTTGGCAGCATTTCATTGTGAGTCAAGTTAACTGAAAACATTTTTGAATTCGGTCCATGACAATGTCATTCAGTTTCTTTAATTGTTTCCCTCTTTTTATTTACTTTTGATTTACGAACGTTTATTTAAGGGACATTTCTTGACAGCATTTCATTGTGAGCCAATGAAAACATTGTTTAATTTGGTCCATTTTAATGTCTATCTCCAAATTAGACAGGCGCCTGACTTTTAATCGTTTCCCATGGTGGAAATACTTCCTTTGATTTGCTCTATCTTAAGGCCAACCTAAGAGGGTACAATCCTAGGGTTTAGGCAATGAGGATACAATCCCACGCTTTAGGGTAACACATAAGAACCTCCCATGATCCATAATCTAATTTATCAGCAGTAAGAAGTTGAAAATTGATATTGAGACGCCACGAATTTGCTTTACTTGACATTTTGTGTCAAGCTGGGCTTCCAGCGTAAATAGATCCGGTTCAACTTGTGAACAGTGAGGAAGTTTACCGCTTGAAACTGGTACTATTCACCAGTTATAAACAAGACTGGACAGGTGTCCTATCACTTGAGAGGTCGATAATTTTCGATGATTGTCCCAACCTCTCGAGTCATTACATTAGGCTATGAAAACACGGAAAAAACATACTTTGCTTCGACAAAGAACGTCTCAAAAGGAAGCGCGAACTTAAAACGTCACAATCTAGTTGACGTACTCTTTCAGTTCTATGTACACCCAACGACCACGGAGAGAGCAGTTAGTAACTGGGACATTCTAGAATTAGTGACTACTATCTTTACATAAATACAGGATTTCTCTAAACATAAATGAATTGAACTCCATTCAGTCCTATCACCATAACAAATAAAGATAAGATGATTTAACTCAAAATGTGTTATTCAAAAGTGGAAATGCGAATCTTACATTCAACCTGAAGGAGACCAGCAAAAGTGACCGAAACGTCAAGAGACTTTATTTCTAGCCCAAAAAAAAATATGGAAGAACAAAGAAAAATGCTTAAAAGAAAGAAATTAGGAATCATGGTAGCAAGTTATGTTGAGATAAAAAAATCAAGGAAGACTTTCGCGCACTTTCCTAATTTAATGGCTCTAGCTTTTGTCGATTCCAGAGAAACATACAATGACAGCGACAAGTTCCAGCTTAATTTTGCAGTCCAATAATCGAACTATAAAATTACATAAAATTCAATTTATAATTTGCTATGTAAATAAGGAGCTTCTGGAAATTTTCTAGAGAGCTTAGATATTCTGATATAATACTCTGGAACTTTCTAGAACATTCTAGTAATTGATGCAAGAATGATTTAATGTTACAAGAGTGTTTATTTTTAAGCTTCTGGAACCTTCTAGAGTGCTTTATATACTAACATAAGCAGTTGGTGACTCAGTAATTTTAGTAGTTCTGGCCGGCAAACCGACTGTTTAAAAAGGCTTTATAGCGCTTTTATGGTTTATTGTAAAAGCTTTCCCACAATATAGAGTTTCGATGACGTTCAAAGATATCGAGATGTTCAGGAGGGCATGGGCCCAGGTTAAATATATTGTAAATGGTGTGGTTAGTTAGGAGACGCTCCTTTGTAATTTATATAAAGTATGGTTAAAAAAATTAGTTGGTTCTTTAAAATAGTTCAACTAGGGTTTTTTTTTTGTTGTTGTTAAAGCTATACCAAAACAAATTCAGTCTATGACATTAAAGACCGGTCGAACCAGGAGAACGTCAAAAAATTAACAGATAATGAACTCCTCGATCACACGTCGGTTTTCCTTTAAGAATCAGGAGTCTTTTCCTCAATGAGTAAATTACTCATGATGTATCTAAGCTGCTATTTAATCGTTAAGGCGAATAAAAACAGACTATAGAATGATTCAAAGAGAATTTCGTACTGTGTTTCGTCGATCAGTATTGTTATACGGCTTCCTTGACGCTAGATCATAATATCTGTGGTGTCTCTAGAATTGACAACAGGCCTAACCTTTGCTCTAAAACTAATCATTTCACCAAGAAAGTTTTTTCTCTCTGCTGGCAGGTGGCATCTAATCTCTCGTTCGTTTCAGTTTCATAATTAATGCGCGTTATTTTCCGCACACCTAAAGATGAAAATATGAGGATTTCTGGTGCGAAAACCAAAAAAAAAAACTCTAACTTTACACTTGACGTCGTAAGGATGCAAATTCTATATCCTATTGAAGTTTCTATCGTTAAAATGTTAATTGGTGACGGTACGAGTACAATTCCTTGTCGATTTGAATGAGAATGATGACAAAAAAGTCATTCATTTCTCAGACTTAACGATAATAACACGCCTACATACATACAAAGATTAAAAAATTTTAACATAACATTGTGTACAGAGATATGTGAATGTCAATCCCGAACTTAAAATCTCGGAAGGAACTTTTCAGAATTCCCGAAATTCATTTAAATTCGACAGTACCATCTATCACTCAAGTAATAATTCATTTTCGCAAAATACATGCGACAATTATCCAATGTTTTTGTACATGAAAATTAATCTATTTGAAACAAGGGACACCCATAGAGTCAGCCCGTAATTATCAATGACTAGTTGAAAGTGCCATAATGAGTGCTAATTGGCTTTGTAAGTCGTTCGCCATTTGTAAACAAATTTATAACCCAAATTCAGCTCATTCAGAGTTTGTGTCCATCTACGGTTTACAGTGCGGCTTCTCAGTCTCGAAACTCCTTCAGAGGACATCATGTCTGACATTGACAAATTCCCCGTAGGTTTAGTGATAGCATTTGTCATCTTTTACTTCGTTGTGTATGTTTTGTCAGTGGTTGGTAACTGTTGGGTTATGGTGACCTGCTACAAAACCCTCAAGAGAAAAGGGTCTTCTTTGATGTGGTTCGTCCTCAACTTAGCAACAGCAGATCTCATTTTCACGTTCCTTACAATCTTCAACGGCATTGGATTTTTGTATCGTTGGGTCGGAGGGGAAATTGTTTGCAAGTTTCACGGGTTTCTGGTCGAGACATGCTACAGTGTTTCCATTAGCACTCTTGTGGTGATCAGTTACGAGAGACTGACAGCCATTACTGACCCCTTAAATGCAAGAGCAAGAAATTTCACAAACAGAGGCTATCGCAGGCTTTTGATAATTTGGGGGGTTTGCCTGATTGGATGTGTTCCCTTAGCAATCCTTTATCAGATGGTTCGCGAAGAAAACGGAGAACTCGTTTGCAATAATACGACGTGGGGAGACGTAGGTCGACAGATTTTCTACAGCCTGCATGCTTTCTTTTTCTTTATCTTTCCATTGTCCTATATGATATTTTCGCAAAGTAAAATATTTCTTGCGCTTCGCTCAAGAAGAACAGTCCCTTCACAACGAGATGCGGAGAGATCTAACAGACGACACCAGAAAATTGCCAAGACACTTTTTGCTCTTACGGTTGCCTTTGCGATTTGTTGGTCTCCATTTATGATCACCCGAACTTTGATGTATTTTCACATCGTCGAGCCAGGTGCATTATGGAGGATGTCCCAACTGCTCATCTGTCTCAACGCTGTGTTGGATCCCATAATGTATGGTATTTATGGTGGAAATCTCAAAGCAACTTTGCGACAGAAGTGTTGCTTCAGATCTCCTCGTAATAGACTTGAAAGATCAGTTAGCCTAGAAATGTCCCAGACTGCAGTAACATGTGCAGTGCAACCAAATGCAGTGAAAAAGTTATCTTGCGAGGTCGAAGAAATGAACACAAGTTGATACTGAATTTGCCTTTCCGGCATCAATTAACAAACTCCCACTAAAAGCAACAAAAACTCCGCGAGAAAAATACCCTCGAATCGGCTCTCCAGCTTGATCATGTTAATAGCTTTTCAGAATAAGATTATAATTTTTTATACTTTTTCAAATTTTTTTCCTTTTTTTTTCATTTCAAGCAGTTTCTTCTTCTTTCTTTTTTTTTCATTTGTAACCTTTTTTCTTTCATAATGATCACGTCATTAATTATGTTTCGTTCCAAAGGGAAATCGGATGCAATTTCACATTACACTGTGAAAAAAAAAAAAAAAAACTGTGCGGAACGGTGTAAAAAGTTGCTGATTTTATATTTGTTCTGATGTCGCCATCGGCGCAATTATTTAAGTTAACAGTTCTAAATCCACTGAGCGAGGGCTTTTTGTCGCAAGTCTCAGAGGGATACCTTCAAACTGATGGTTGCAACGTAAGAAACGAACGTGTTACAATCTTTAAATGGAGTACTGTCGTTAGAAAGAACAATTTCGTGCCATTCTTGGAGAATCCGCCGATTAATTGTAATGCAATTTGGCACAGTTGTTTCAGAACGACGGCAAATCCTATCATTAGTCCATGATGATGGGTGGTGAGGGAGAGTATCTCTTAACCCCTTACACGCTAACATAAGTATCCATGTTCTCCACACTGCTCCATTTACATTTCCTTTCAATATGACAAGGAGAATTTATTGAAATATTTTTATTTTTTAATTACGGTTTGTACTTGCATTATACACCACAAGAGCTCAAAAACTGAACCATATCAAATACCTCTGTACATCTCCGGTTACATGATATGAAATGTTGCTGGACTGGCAATAACCGCGTATTTTTTGTTTATATATATCGTGCAACAAACATACTCTATTCCTCCTTGTTGTTGATTCTTACTTCAGCCTGCATAATTGAATAATGATAAAAGTTACTTGCTCGAGGTACATGCGCGTCTTGGACCAAAACAAAATGCGAAAGCTTGAAGCTGGTTTACATTTACATCTGGCCTTCTCAATGCTGAAACCGGCATAACTATTGGTAAGTTGTTTTCCGTTTTAATAGGTAAGCTTGCTTTAGTTATCTGAAGACTATATTCTGTTGCTTTATCACGCTAACCCGTTCGAATCGTAAAAGCAAGAAGATGCAACTGTCCGAATGAAATTAGTAGAATTTATGTGCTCTGAGTTTGATCGCCTGTCTAGCCAAGTAATGTTATCAATGAAATAATCGCAAAAATATATTATGAGGGGCTTAGTTTTACTGTGAAACTGAGTTCGGTAGATTTAATCCATCGAGAAGACATTATTGTCGTCATGAACATTGAGATTTACATACTGTAAAAAGTCAACGCGAATGCATATTTTAAAATTAAATTTTAGCGTGATTTTGTCACGCTCAGTCATTATTACTTAGCGCCCTCGCCTTGGAAACACGTTGTCTTGCATGAAGTTGATGACGTTACCTGCAGGACGATATCGACCTACCACAAATGTAAGTCTACCATCACCTGTTTTCGCTCGACCCATTCCTAACTCCTTACTGTCTTTCCACACCACTTGAGTAAAGTGTCCAGTTCCTCCCTGCCATCCACCACGGCGGAAATCATAATCCTTGTACTCATCGTACCTATTAGAGGAGTTAATTGAATTTATTATCTGACGTCATTTCCATTAGTCCTTTCGATAAAGTTTTGTGAAGTCAAACCGTCTTGAAAACAGTAATATATCAGAAAAAAGGAATATATCATGTAATTTTTTTGACGATAAAGCAGATTCGTGCAAAAAAGTCTGGATGTCGTAAAACGCTTGCGAGCTTTCACAAAGCAAAGCCAAGCGAAATTATGCAATCTTTAATTACTTTCCACACTTAGTCGAAACATTTTACAAATGTGAGGTTTGTCATTTTTTTTTTAAGTACAGTTAAATACAGTTTAATTGTCGAGGCAATCAATTGATAAGCTAGGAAATGTGTTTCTTGTGAAATAAAATTCATTGATGAATGATCTTTTTATTTTTATTTTCAACACCCTCAATGGCCCTTCTGGAATAATTGTTATTAATATCAAAGCCAATATCCTCAGTTAAAAGTCATTGACCGACTTCAATGTGACCAAGGAGCAATTTTTGTCAGTTGAGCAAAACTCGTGCTTTCCCATATAGCTTGTATTTAATTTGCCTTATTCTTTGTTTGCCGTTGCTAGTTTGAAATGATATTTGCTCTTTTCCAAAGTTTTTACTCACCACATAGTGGTAGCTTCTTCTCCTGCAGAATCAAACTTTCCCGTAAACATTGCTAGGTTCTCTCCAGCATTCTCTCTCTCGCTCTTACTCGAATGCTGCAATGTACGGGCACGTGCCAACTTCTCGGCCCAAGCCTGTGCTTCCCTAGCGAGGTCATCCGCCCACTTCATGCCCGGCACACCATGCATAGCTCGGTATTTGTTATGACTGTCTAGGGACTGTTTTGCAAAGGATCCTGAAGGAGATGATGTAGCTGAAGCGGAAGGAGTAGGTCTCTCTGCTAAAAGAAATAAAGCTAGCTGAATTTATTATGCGATATGTATTAGTTAGCCAATGTATTGAACAAGTACATGTTGCACCAACTTGTTGCTGGATTGATACTTCCAGGTCAATTTTGGAATCACGCTTGATAGTGCGTTCTTCACGTATTAGGAGGGCGTCAAAATAAATTCCAGAAACCCCTAGTTTAGCAAGCATGATAGCTATTTTTGTCAGGTACATGAACTCAATTATTACGCCATAGGGTCTAATGTTCCATTTACTATTTGGAACAACGAATTACAAGATCGCCTACAAACGTACTTGTTAGCACAGAATTCTTTCCCTTCCTTATGCACATACGGGGTGTCGCAAAACAAAAAGGATGACACAATTTTAATCAATATTTTTCGTCGATTTTGAACTTGTTCCGCGAAAAAAAAGATTTATACTAGAAAACGTACTCAAGTTGGTGAGTTCCATGAGGTCCCTGCTGATGGTTAGCAAGCTTTAAAAAATTGGACATGGCAAATTTCAACCTGAAATAACGCTTAAAAAAATAGATTAAGGAATTACCTGGTTTTGTTTCCTTCGGTTTTTGACTGTTCCATGAAGGTGAATAAGACGTTGGCTGAGCTAAAATCGTTATGAACAATTTAACAATTAATAATTTCCGTAACTTGAACTGATAAACAAAAATTGTGAAACTATTATCAACCTGTGTGTATGGCAGATGTTATCCGACTACTTTATCAAAAGGTGCTTTGGAACTTCTTCTTGTCACTCAAAGTAATCAATAATTGCAAAAACGTATTTCTGTCAAAGCTATTTCTCCACTCATCCCTTCCAGTGACTGCTATTCCTTCCTCGTAGATTGACTTGGAGAAATTTGGTTTTTTTTTTCTTCTTTTTTTTTCAAGACATTATAACCTTCAGTCATGCAAAAATGTTTATTTTCGGTGTCAGTGTAATAGATAATGCTTTGCATGAACTGGGACAAGTGACATGGGTAAAGGGTAAAGGGTTAAGAAAGAGCGTTAAAACATTACCATTTCTCTCCCGCGTGTCCTTCCTATCCTTGAAAGGGTCTGTTTTTGTAAAGAATACAGCCATTTGAGATGTGTGAATTAAAAAGTAAACAAGTGCGACATTGGTGAAACGAAAATATTCACCATTTGGTCAAGAAGCAGTCGCTGAGCCTAACACATTTTTTTTAAGGAGTCGGTATCATTTCAATCGATGGTACTTTGATATAATGATACAATTTTCAGACTCTCGATACAAGCAAAAAGGGTCACAGGTTATCCGTTTAAACTCAGCATAGTCCTTTTTTTGACGTTCTTAAAACCTAGCCTTGTTATTCAGTGTAGATTCAAGATAACCTTGTTTGATTTTAACGAGGCCTTAAAACAGGAGCATATTTGTTTACCTCCGCACGAGGAATTTTTCTCTTACACACTCGGTTTGGAATTGGTCTATATGAATTTGGAGCAAGGCCCCCTAGCTCTTTCATAGATTTAACTATGCAGGGCCTCTCAGATCTACAAGTTTGCAGGCTGCAAACTAGTAGATCTGTTTCCTCAGTAATTTTTTCTCTTAATCTTTTTTTAAAACTTCTAATGAGACATCTATGAAATTACCGTTTCGCTCCCATCTCTCCTTTCTATCTTTTAAAGGATCTGTAGAGAAAAATAAGTCTGAGTTGATCATAGTAGAAATGAGAAAGAGGGCATAGGTAACAAAAAACAAGAGAGCACAAAAAATACTAGCCATAGGCATTTGAAAATCGCACGCAATTTGTGCCTCAGGATACTTGACATGGGTGAAATGATATACAAACGATATAATAAAAAGGCATTGAGATAAAAAAGACTCAAAGAATCTTACCGTCGTCAAATGCTCTTCTCATATCTCTTGGAAATCTATCAAATGGATCTGAGAAGAAATAGTCGTAAGGACGTGATTTTTTTTTTTTTTTTTTTTTTTTGGGGGGGGGGGACTTGAGAACAGAACATAAACAATTAGGATAACTAATAATAGGATAATAGGTGAGCACTTGATTTGAAATAATTAAATGTCAGCGCGGATGTTCGATCACATGCAGAAATTTTGTTACATGGCTATCAGTGGCGGACCCAGACGCCCCTGGCCCCTCCCTTAGATCTGCCACTGGTTATGTCTCCCCGTTATATTGCTAAATTTCCTTTCTTTAATTCAAACACATGGCGTCATGGATCAACTTTGTTTGATCTAAACGGGCAGAAACTTGCGTATGTTTTTTTTTTCTTTTTTTAGAGATCAACTGACCTCCCCTTCCTCCATCTGTTATGATTGTCTTCGTTACTGTGGTTTTGACCCCGTCTCGATCATAAGTAACCTGAAAATAAAAGGCCAGACTGCTATATTCAAAGAGCACTGAAAGGCTTGGAATTCACAGAAACCCACCCCCCCCCCCACCTTTTTTTCTTTAGCTCAAAGAACATGGAAATTGCTGGGTGAAAAATCCAAGGTTTGAAATTCCCACTACAGCCTACTCCCTTTCCCACTCCTGTCTTTGTTTTTCTTCTTTCAATTGCACCTTGGTCACTTGACCTCAAGCAAGACGATGCCTAATTGAATTTCGTACTCAATTGGAAATCGTTCATCGAGCAAATGTGGTGAAAACTTAATTGCCCTTCCTCCCTCTTGCTAACTTTCTTGATATCATCGTCACCAGGTTTTTTACACTCATTTGTTACGCAGACAGACGCTGAGCGAGTTAAATCTTTAACTCTATCCTCCTCTTGCTTCTTTGTATATTGTAGTGAGCCTTATTCTGTTTTCTTTCCTCTTGTTAAAGTCCTCTCATATCGATGCTTTTGTTTGCATACTTTAACAACTTATTAACCAGGGAGGTCAAGTCTCTTGCTCCCTTATCATTTTCACATACCTCAAACACTACTTTAAATTTCACCCCTTAAATCCAATATTCTTTCCAGTACTCCCTCAACCATTTTTAACTTCGTTATTTATCCTTAATTCATCCCCTTATCCCTTACTGTTTCAGTTTTTTCTTGCCGAGAGGGAGATCTTCTCGAGTCATCGAAATCTCGTCTTGGTTCCAGCCGTGTAGAATAATCTCTCGAATCCCTCTCCCTAGAACTGCTATTGACTACGCTGCCCAGCTGCATAGAACAAAGATAACTAAATTAACTCAATATTATTTATGCTGCATTGCTTGAGAAATTTATGCGTTTATAAAAAAATTACGCATCAGAAATATTTCCAAATTATCATTTAAGGAGGATCGCAACGCTAATGCTCTTGACTCAAAGGAAGAACGAAAAGTAATTTTACATTTAAGTGATATTACCTTTGGCTTAACATTGTTTTGAAAGTGATTAATGACATTTCCTGGTGGTCGATATCGAGCCACGACAATAATTTTCCCGTTGCTACCCTTGGCCTTGCCTACTCCCAGTTCTGTTGACTCCTGCCACACAATCTGTGTGAAGTGGCCCGTGCCACTTTTGAATCCTGGGCTTCTAAAATCATAGCTGTTAAAGAAAGACGAGATATTCATGGCTTAGAAATAAATTGATTGCAGTGACTTGTGATCAAAAGTAGCCAAGTTCAATTTAATTAATACAAAGCCGTATCTTAGATAGCGGTTAGGATTCTAACACGAAAGATTTCGGCGAGTCACGACCGCAGTTAGATTATAATATCATTTTACGTTTCTAGTGTATCATTGTCCCCGGAACGATCATCATACACGTAACAATCGACGAACTTAGCCCCCCTCCTTTCCCATGATCCTTGTGAGGTCTTAATTACTAATATTCTAATCGCATTATGTTAATCGCATTTAAGAACAACTTGAATTAATGTCAAACGGAAAGGATAATTAATATGTCCTTACTTGTCGACTTCTGCGTACCACCGATCCACGATTTCTCCTCCGGTGACATCACTCTTGCCGGATACGGAATACAAGTTCTCTCCATCATCAGTATCTTCGTGTCTTAGCCTCCCGTCTTTAGCCAACTCTTTAGCCCACTTTTCCGCGTCCTTTTCTAGAGATCTTGACCACTTCAGCGGAGGAGTCTGATGGAGAGACCGGTATCTGTTGTGAGCTTCAAGTGCTTCTTTACCAAATTTGTCTGGCATCTTTTACCCTGTACCGTCAGGATGTAAACATTCTAGCTTAGGCAATAGTTATAAAATATAAGACATATAAATAATATTGAAATGTAAACACCTTTTAGGTATCATCATGTTTGGTGAAGTTGATGAATTTATTTAAAATAGCACTTAGTTAACAGTTTGTGAGTTGAGTCGTCAGATTGCTGCAAGCTATGACAATAACTTGGGAGCAATTAGTCATTTTTTTTAGGTATCATCATGTAGTGACCAGCATTTAACTTCTCCTCACAGTAATACCGCTGAATAATTCGTTACGATTATGAGAATAAGGAACATCATCGCCAACCTTAGAAGCTTTTATTGTTTAACAAATTCTCCTCTTGAAAAGAATTGTACGGAGAACGACATGGAGAGTTTGAGTACCGAGGTTACGGCGTGACAGGTTAAAGTGAGCAACGTGTGGTGATCTTTTTGTTTGAGTACCGAGGTTACGGCCTGACAGGTTAAAGCGAGCAACGTGTGGTGATCTTTTTTTCAATTTGAAGCAAGAGTGTGGTTTTTCTTATCAAAATAATAGTGTGAATAAGTTTTATCCTCATAGTGTCGCTCAAAGAAAAATTCCAGTCTAATGCTAAAAGCACGAGGGCTTCAAAGTATAGTAAAAATATCGTGAAGGTTTTGATGTTCAACCAAAATGGTTGCAAGAAGGACGACTCTTGCTTTGAAGCATCGGGAGTTTTGTGCTTCAATAATCTTTTTTCTATTGGTTCCTGAATCAATTAGCTTTGTGCTTTTCAAGTATTCGACTTCTCGATTAAAACATAACTACTTAAAACTTATATTGGTCCGCATGATTTTCACTATCTTTTGATCTTCTCAGTGCAGTTCTTGTTGAAAGGTATTTTAAAAACAATACCTCTAACCACAATTAAGGTAAACCAAACTACTTATTTACTTACTTGATGGCCTCTGACGGCGTCCACTCTCAGTAGGGAAAATGGTCTATTAATTGAAAAATCAATTGGTCAACTTCATTCGAGCTAATTACTGATTCTTCAAAACTAATGAATACCACTCTCAATTCAAGATGTGTCTCACAGCTTCGGTCGTGATCAGCGTAAATTATGTTTCTTTGTATCATGTAAATGTCACGAGACGTAATAAGGATGGAGCGGGTCGAAACGAAACATTTAATCTCCTCTTTTGTTAATCCTTATCAGTAATTACGCAGAAAAATCGGATGTCGTATATTAGTATATTTACATCATTCGAGAATACTAAAGATTTCCTTCCTGCATAACGAGTCAGCGTTGTTATCACGTTTCGCTGTCTTGTTCATACCCTTGTGATGAGGTGAATTTTTTCAAGTGAGCTTATCTTACCAACGTGATTTCCGCAATGTCAGATTTGGAAAAGCTTGTAATATGTCTTAGACGCCCAATACTAAGTAAACATAAAATGCATTTTGTATAGAGCGTCTGATAACGCGTCCTGCACATATGAAACTTTCAGGTTTTTTAATATCTCAAATTAAATTTACTGAAGAATAAAAAGTTTTAACGTCTTTGTTTTCACATCAAAATCTATTAATGAGCCTTCATTTAACTAATATTGGTCAAATGCTTATATTTTAGTTCTTTACCTTTTCTTTGGCTATTGTCCGTTTGGTTTCCAAACTTTCTATCGCTTCTTTCTGTCAAACTGAGCCCTATTAGTGCGACCTTCTAAGTAACAATGGAATGAAATGGCGCGCTGTTAAGTGCTCGCCTCTAGCCTCGTCATTCCATTTACCTAACGTGAATGCAAATCAACAATACATAACAAGGTGCCAATCACGTACCAAGACTGCTCAAGCGAAAAGTATAAATGCGTGATAATAGACTTACAGCGAGAACGAGCTGCGCTAATAGAGATTTTTTTCAAAGGAGATGTGACACAGCTGTGTCGATGTTTCTTGTGTCTTAATAAGTTATAAAGTCACGCAAAGTAGTTTGCGAATTACTGAGTTGCCTGGGCGAGCTGTTCTGTTTGTTTTCCGCATTCAAGGTTAAATATATTAGCATCAGGCTAAGGTTAATTACCGTCAAGTAACTTCGTATTAGTTTTAGAACTCAACGAATGAAAAATTTAATACAAAGAGTTTGAACGGAAACTAAAACGTGACCTCACAAATACGTTTTTCTGTCCTTTCACTTATAATTAAGTTGTAAAGGAATCCACGTTTATCCGGAATTCTTTTGAAACACTAGAGGATCTTGTAAATAAATGACGTCAGCCCATTGACTTCTTTATTCAGTTCGGCTTCAATGGAAGAAAAACAACCCTCTTAGAAACGCATAAACACTTTCAATGTTTTTGTCTGTGGATGCGTGGGCCTCATTGTGAGTTTTATTTTTCTTTCTCCTTCCTACAATAACATATTGTTGGTTGGCTTTTTGTCGATGCCGCAATCGTTGATGAGCTTAAGTTAATTTAGCAGAAAGCACTTATTGATAAATTCGCGCCCCATGTATGTCAATAGAAAACATTTAAAGATGTTTTTAACCGCCGAAGTTAATACCGTCAATCGTCGTCAAAACTTTACCTACAGTAAGTTGTGTAATTGATTTCTCCGTCTCGTTTCATTAAATATACGGGGAAAAGGCGACGAAATTAGACAAATATATCAGCATAGGAGTGCAACATTGATATAACGCCACATTCTCTTGACCAATTCAAAAGGAAATACAAAGCAGATCCAAATGAGAATTGCTATTTAGAGCTTGGGAATTATATGGACGGCTAAGATTGGACCTCTTCAATTGACGTAACTTCAGGACACACTTACTTATTTTGATGTATCTACCTTATCCATCAAACGGGTCATTAGAGTCAATGCAGTCCTTTCTACGCAAAGCAAGCCAAGATTACAGAGATTAGAGCAGGGTACTGAAACACTTATAAAACGAGGCTAAATAAAAAGCCGCTTCTTTTCTTGTTTAATCCTTCAATCCCTTAGAGTGACTCGCATCTAAATTTCACCTTACAGTATCCCAGGTCGTGAGAACAGAGAGAAAGATCGCCATCTAAGGAAGCTCTTGACTGTTAAACAAATTCTCTCAGTCACTTTCATAGGGAATGCATAGAACAGTGTGGAGAAAATGCATGATGATATTAGGGTGTAAGAGGGTCTCATTTCAACTTGTAATCGGAGGGTGAAGATGGTTGTTCTCAAAAATTCTCGTCGGCTGTATTTAAAAAAATAGAACTCTGTTTCGAAAAATTCACACAAAGTGATGTTCAAACTCGTACAAATTTCAGTCTGCAGTTTATTTTCTCCTTCACTCCAGTACAAAAGTAAACTAACTCCCTGAGTATTTTATTGATTAAATCTGTCATTATTTCAAAAGTTATCCTATAGGTATAACTTATGGCTAATGCCATAACACAGCCACAAAGATTTTAAATGAATTTTTGGTCCTTAATGAATTCCGGTAAAGCTCATGTTCTTCCCAGGAAAGTGTATTTGCCCTTAATTCATTTCCTCGCATTTTCACCCCTTTTGGCATTATTACTGATTAAAACATATAACATATATAACTTCATGTTATCGTTTATAAGAATGAGCCATGATAAACTGATTGAACATAAGGGTAGAAAATCTATTTTTTTAAGATTTATACCTCCATTATTCGAGGATTTTTCATTTCATTATTATAGAAAGACTGTACCTTTTCAGATTAATTTAAATTGTGGTTATTATTATGTCCTTAATTCCCAAATTACAATGATTAAGTAAAAACCCATTTCTTGTTAAAATGATAGCTTCATAATATCATTTTAATTATCCCAATATCTATTATCAACATACAGAGAATAAGCACCAAGTTGGTGGCTTTGTCTAAAAATTTATCTTTCTATTTATCCTTTATAGCTATTCTTGCTCCTCTTTGCTTGATCGTTTTGTTGTTTTTTTTTATTACTTTTACCCCGATGATCGGCAATGATGATCTACAAATGCTATGCACTTTAAAATTAAATTTTTCTCTTCTCATCCCTTAAAAACATTTTCTTGGAAATGATTGAGCAAATTTCCTGCAGGATTGTACCTTGCCACCACGTACGTAAGCTTCCCGTCAGCGGTCTGGGCCCTACCCATTCCCAACTCATTACTCTCCTTCCACACCACTTGCGTGAAATGCCCAGTGTTGCCTTGGAAACCAGGTTTATCGAATCTGTAGTCTTTGACTTCACTGTACCACATGTTTGTCGCTTCATCAGCAGCTGTTTCAAACCTGCCAGAGAACATGGCGATGTTCTCACCATATCCTTTACGTTCCTTTTGCGTAGCGTGCTGCAGTTTACGTGCACGTGCCAATTTCTCGGCCCAGGCCTGTGCTTCCTTTGCAATCTCGTCCGACCACGTCAGTGGTGACACTTTATGCTTGGTGCGGTATTTGTTGTGAGCATCAAGGGCCTGTTTTGCAAAACCCGTTTGTGACACAGAGCTGGGGGCTTTCGGTCCTCCTTAAAGAAAGAAGATAAGACTAAGACGTGCTCTCAATTTATAAACATACAAACCGAGTTTTCATGGCAAAGATTGGAATGAACAAAATTAAGTAGAGTGTCTTTATGGCTAACGGTTTAAATTTTGGCTATTTTTCCCTCTTTTCTGTTACATTTAAACGAAAAACCTTTTCAATTTTTTCGCCTAACTGCTAAATTTTTTGCTATTTTACGGCCAATGGTTTACCTCACTGAGACCCTCTAAGTAAGACTCTCATTCCGCACCACAGAGGATTATGGTTTACCCAAGGAGTGATTCATCTGTACAATTTTTCTCAAAAATAAACACCTTTGGTGAGTCCACGGTTTAAGCCGGATACACTACTCCTTTTCATCAGAAGTGAATAATTTTTTATTGAGATATGTTTCCTTGAGTAAATTGGGTAAAAAAACTAGTTACACTCAGCATAAAGGAAAATGATATCGGAATAATTTACACTGTACAGATTTGCGTCAGAAATAACACAATTAAATGTCTTTACCTGCAGTTGAACAACTCTTAGAAGGCTTTGGATCTTGAGTAGGCGGAGAATCTGCATGAAAACGCAAATATATGTATTCATTTGCAACCGTACTCCAAGCTCAACTTAGGGTAATAGAACAATTAGTGGGTGATTGGATGAGTGAGTCAGTAAGCGAGTGAGCGAGTGATTGGATGAGAGAGTGAATAAGGGAGTAGGTGTGCGAGTGAATGGGGTGGGTGAGTGAGTGAGTGAGTGAGTGAGTGGGTGGGGTGGGTGAGTGAGTGAATGAATGAGTGAGCGAGGGAGTGAGTGAACTAGTGAATGGGTGAGGTGGGTGAGTGAGTAAGAGAGTAGGTTGGTGGGTGGGGTGGGTGAGTGAATGAATGAGTGAGGGAGGGAGTGAGTGAATAAGTGATTGAATGAGTGAGTGAGTAAGCGAGTGAGTGGGAGGGGTGGGTCAGTGAGTGAGTGGATGGGTGAATGGGTGAGTGAGTGAATGAGTGAACGTGTGAATCAGTAAGAGACTGAGTGAGTAAATGAATGAATTAATAAATAACTGAGTCAATGGTTGCGTAAAACGATCTGTGATCTTAAAGACGCATGATTCATTTTCGCCATTTGCTTTTGATAAAGAAACTCAAAATAGAGTTACAACCTTGAGGAAGTGCTGTTCTCATGTCTCGAGCAAACTTGTCTTGCTTTCTGGTCTCTGCGATTTGTTACGAGAAGAAAGAAAAATATTTTATAATTGTTTATGTATGAATGATTGGGAAACCGGATTTGTATCTGGACTTTCTTTTTATGTGTTTCTCATGTGTGTGCGTGCAGCTCTAAATCACAAGCTTCAGGTGGCAACAGCTGCGAATAATTAAGTGATCCGTTAAAGTGGAAGAGCCAAGTTTTTTTACATGTCAAGCATTCTTGTGGTCTGAAATCTTTTGCTCAGCCATTTATATCTTTTTCCCACGGGCAATTAATCTTTTTTTCACAAACACTTCACTTTCCTCTGCTCCAGTCAAGTTTGTAATATTACGATGTAGTATGACTAAGAAAAGACTTTTGATGAAAGTCATTGAATGGTGTAAGTTTCATGAATATTGTATCGTGGATTTGTCCATGATAGGTTTCGTTCAAGATAGTGCAAGTCGATTCCACCTATTTTGTAAAAAAGGTATTAATAGTAGACGCAGCGTGTGGTGAGTACTTGTAGCTTGCTTCAGGCGTTCGTGACTTAATAAGAAAGCAGCGTTTCTAGGATTAGCGATAGGTAAAATAAACATGCAAGCAGAAGCCAAGTTCGCTCTTCTTTCTTGTTAATGATTACTTTGGGCAAGACAATTGTCCAATATCAAAATCTTATGCACTATCTTTTAATGTTTAATTAGCCCACTAGTTCTGCATTTCAGCTACTTCATCTAATGATCTTGAAGAATTAATTAGTTTCTGAACTCCTCACCCGATACTGTTGTCACGGTTTCCTTAGAATAGCCACCTCGATCTTGACAAGAAAAAAAAAATTAGCCACAAAATAGCCACTATATGCAATGTCATTTGAAAAAGATGACAATGACATAGATCTCCACATAGATCTTCTGTGATCCTTGAGGCAAGAAAAACATGTCGCAGAAACCCAAGAGCTAAATCCATAGTTTTAGTGATTCACTCTTACCATTTCCTTTTAAGGTCACAGTTACGGTGGACACAACAGTCTTCTTTGTACCATCTGGGAGCGTAATGGTCTGTGATAAAAAATGCGTCCAAAAACAGTCAACTACTGGAAAAGCTTTCTTGAGCCATGTGTGGCTTATTTATTTGTGTATTTTTTGACAAGGATGTCTTTTTTCAAATCATTCTATTGTAATTTGATAATTCGTGTAGAT